TCTCCGAACTCGAACTAATCAACCCGATCACATAAAACACGGATAACGAAGCGCAAAGAAGCTAAAATAGAGGAAAACGGAGCGGTAACTCATGAGACGACTGACCGGGTCGTTACNCATCATTAGTTGTAGAACTATTAATCAACTTGGACAAACATTATAATAAGAATAAATTATGATAAAGTAAGTTGTAACAACACAACTAATATATTAAATAGGTGATATTTTCACTCACCATTTGTTATATCGGACAAAGGAGGAACTCTTTCTTCACTTCCGACAGAATAGTTTGTATTATTGGAAGGTTCAATATGATGTATTCTCATGTCTACAAAATAATATTTGATATGCATCATTAGTTATATAACTAATAATTAAGTAAACCAAACATTCAAATAAGAATAAATTTTAGTAAAATATAAAAATATAAAATGCAGAATTTTGAAGGAGGAGACTTCAGAGGCAATAATATGCACAACTTTCCTAATGATCAGTGAAACAGAGAACTAACAAAATATAAGCTATATAAATTTTTCGTCCCTTTTAGCTGTTCTTGTTGAACTGGTACCTCTAACCCTCTTCTTCCTTTGAACCACATGTTTTTCATCCTTCGGACTAAATTATTTTTATGTATTCTCACATCAAAACAGAATGAAGCACAAAAATTGAAGGCACCAGAAGATTATTATTAGAAAATCTATAATCTCATAAAACAACAGATGTTAAAATTCAGAGCAATTATAAATTACACAAGGTAGAAGATGATTGGAAAAGAAATTTGGCGACAAAATAAACTTAAGCAGATATTTAGATGATCAAGATTTCCTCAAGGACCAGCAAAAATTGCTAGCGCATCTAGCACACGAGTCCGAAGAAATGCATGATTTTGGATATAAATTCAAGAATAAATCAATTATCTTAAAATTTAGTCTCAGTACATGAATATCGAGTAGAAATAACCTAACACTATAGTTCCACTCCCTTCTATAATTTGCAACTTTTGAATTGCAAACGTTAGAACTCGATTACTGTTGAACGTCTTCAACCAACTTCATGTTGTCAAGTCCTTTTAGAAGCTAAATTTATATGAATACTTCTATCTACTCTTTTACAGTAGATGTTTCACTATAAAGACTTCATAACTTAAACCTGAATTTTATATACCATAATCATCGCCAAAATTATGTTTTTACCCAATTTATCTACAAATTGATCAGAGATTATAAGTTTTTTTTACTCTATTTGATCTTACTACTTATAAGCTTGCAATAAAAAAAATATAAAAAGTATTTCAGATATGATAATGGTAATCAAAGACCATACCTTTGGTAACAGAGTTTTTTTTTGCGCCTTTTTTGATTCTGTATTGGGTATGTGCTTGGTATAGAAAGTGAAATTTTTTGATTTTCCATGGAGAAGGATCTAAGAAGCTGGATATAGTGTGCCCTTTTGAAAGACTTTAGAAGAAAGATGAATTGTATTAGAAAACGGTTTATGACTCTTTAACTGCTAGCGGTAGCCTCTGTGGAATTAAATATTAATGAATATTAGAAGCAGTTTTTGTTTGCTCTATCTGTGCAAAAAAATCTTTACATCATAAATAAAGGACAATAACCATAACTTTTATAATTAAAATTTAGGAAAAGAAATTAAATTCATGTAGAGTCATATAAGAAAGCATTGATTATTCGTTTTCTCCCTTATCTATCTATATAACCCCTTAATTAAAAATCTATATATATATTCTATATATATAATAAAGTTGGGAAAATGAAAGATGATGTGGCATATTTCTTTGGCCAAGAATCACATTTATCTTTTTTCTTAGATTTTGCACCCTTTTCCTTATTTTTGCATTTAAAATTTGCTAACAATTAAGTATGCTTTATTTACTTTTTTCATTATTAATATACTATTCATCTATTTTCCTATAACGTTTCTATACCTTTCTTCCGTTACATTTTACCCTTCACTTAAATCTCATAATTTTTACTATTTATTTCTTTCCTTTAAATCTTTCTATTTTCTTTCTGTGCATTAGCTTTTTTTCCATAACTCAAAAATAATTCCAACGCTCAAGGACTGTTGCAATAAAGGTAATTCTATTCCTATATTATTTTGTAACTTCATTTGTTTTATTTGATATCATCTGAAATTATAGTTTGTGCAATGTTTATATTCATGTTTGATTTCTTCAATTGCGTTTCAATTTGGATGTAGTAGCTTCAGCCTTTCTTTGTTTTACTTTCCTCTCTAAGAGTGAAAATAAAAATGGAGAACAAGAGACTATGGTTAGCCAGAAATTGGTAGAATAATACCAGGTATGTCACTATTTTTCTTTAAAATAATTTGGTAATTTACTTTATAGTTATGGCAAGTAATTCGATAATTCCTTTTGAATTTCTCCATGGGAAGGGAGAAGCAAAAAATATGTTATAATTATGTAGTGACGTAAAAGAGTAACTTACATGTGCTTCTTTGCTTTTTCTATCCAGTGCAATAGGTTTCTCTAAGTTTTGTAAATTTCTAATTTAGTGAAATGTAGTAAAACTAAAGAGTACATATTTCTTTAAAAAAAAAGTTGATTATTTATAGTTGTAAATGTTATATAAAAAATTCGGGTACCAAAATATTTTTGGCTTATTATCCATAAATGTAAATAGAATGGTTGTTGTGGTTTCAACCTTTCATATTCTATATTTATGGACCGTTACAATTTGTAAATTGAAACGGAGAGAGTATTTATAAAGAATAAAGAATTCTTACCGTTGCAATGGCTTTTCTACCTGCAAGTTTCTTCCTTTATCCTCTAGCCACTTATATTGCTTCTTCAATTCTCATTTTCATTAAGAATATGTAGAGTTCAGCTTTTGCATTGGCTATGTTTCAACGAATCTTAGACTCATTTTTCTTTTGGGAATTACTATTTTATGACTATTTTATAAGTGATATTCTTGAAAAGAAAATTAATTAATTTTGTTTAGATTTCGATATATGTGGTAACAGAAAGCGCCAACATTAAATTATTAAAATAAGATTATGAGAATGATATTGAAAATAAATTAATGATACCACTAGGCAGTAGCTCTGTTGCAAGATGTATGAAGTCGGGTAAGATGACTTCAAATTCAATGAGTTGCTCAAGTTTAACGAGCAATTTTGTGAGGTTGAACATTTTTTAAGAAGTATAAGAAATGCATATTACATACATATATACATGTCTATTATATGATTATGAAGATTTTGTGCTAGATATTGCACATTAAAATCTAAAAAATGAGATTTAAATATTTGAGAAAGAACAAGCAACGGCTTATCGATTTGGTCGAAGAGTACCACCTCCAGCATCGCCAATTGGAGGTCTTAGAGACATGCAACCGTTGTATATTTAATTTTCTTATAAATTTTTTATATTTATTTGTTGTATTGCATTGGGTTTAATATTTATAGAAATTTAGATGGTATGGAATACATATATAATAAAATTATGACTTTAATTATAGTTTTTATCATGGCGCGAAGCGCGAATAGATTCACTAGTTACATTATATTAGTGATCTTCTAAATAACTTGCTTATTAGAACAAAAAATAAAAATAACACTTATCCTTTCATAAATAATCACAAAAAATATGATTTGTTTCAGATTTTTCACATGAAATTTTGTTATCTATAATATGTTTACAATCGGCGCATTGCGGTTTTTGGCTCTTTGCTACTGCTTTTGGATGTCAACTTAATGTTAAGACAATAATGGACTCATCGATGTTAATTGATAGTGCCATTAAAAAGGTTTATCGTCTATTGATCATTCTATATTAATAATGATTGTCAATTCTTATACTGATCTTATATAGTTTTCTGTACGATAACAGTTTAGTTCCCAAATCTTTTTAAGTCAATTTCTTTGGCTTCCTCTTACTAACCAATATGCCACCCTTTTTTAGGATCCTCAATTCGTCGAAACATAGTAATACCAAATTCAACAACTGAAAGTCGAAGATCAGCCCTCTTTCTGATTATGATAGGATGGTCGATCAAAGTGATGCCTTGTGCTCAATTAAGAGTTTGGCTAGTTTTATACTGAATCTATGTGTCCATTATGTTGTCTTAAGGTTAATTGTTACAATTCTTAGTTGCCTATCCAAAAGAAAAGGTTACATTTTGTTCATTTATGTGGTTTAAATATGATAAATATTTTTTTCTTGGTGTTTTGTGTTTTGGATGAATAAAATAAGCAACTGTGAATGCAAAAAAGGCACTATCTTTACTTTTACCCTCATTCAAGCTGTTGGCCTGACTCGTTGTTGTATACATGTGCTGCCATTGAATTTCTTGAAACAGATTCTCCTATTTCCACTACAATTGTTCTTGGTGTCATGACGAACTTAGAGTATCTCTAACTCTAAGTTGATTTTACAAAATATGGTCCTATCAAGTAATAGCAAAATAATTAAAACTACTAAGTACAATTTAGATCCAGTAGCCTTAAGATCGATACTGATTGTAACGACTCCAACGCTCTCACCCGACCTAAGAAAATATACCTGTCATGAAGAGAATAAATTTGTTCCTTCTTTCGAGTCATGTAGAATTATTTTTAATATTTCAGCAAACTTAGCACTTTATGGAAAGTAGTTCAGTCATGTAGTTGAAATCTTCGTCAACTAACTTTATGATCCATCCCTGGAGGAAGATGCAAGCTATCAATGGTTAATGTAAAAATCTATCAACAAAATAAGATAATTTAACTAACATTAATTCAAGATTGCGGATTATCTTACGTATCTATATAGGAAAATTTTAACAACTAAAAGAACCATGAACTGATTCAAATATCTTGTCCATAGCAAATGAAAATACCAAACTAACTAAACAAGAAAAGTTCAATACCAAGAAAAACATGAAATGATTCAAACATCTTGTTCCTAACTAATAAAACTAATAAACTAACTAATCAGACAATTCTTAGTTTCTACAACTCGTACATATGCAAACAACTTATGCTATCTTCTTCTTTTTAAATACTCTCTTGATCTTATTTTCCAATAACTGTGCATTCGAATCTTCTTCAACCATTGCTATAGAATTAGTTAAACCTATCTTGGCAAGTGTATGTGCAACATCGATCAACTCATTATCTTCAGTGGAATCCTACATATTTAAAACACAAAAACATGTGAAAATCAATACTTAATCTAAAATTCTTGTTGCTTTATTATTTTATAACTTGAAAATCATTAAATTAAAAGAATGAATTATGTAAAATAATATTTATAATGAGTTGTAAAATCACCGTGATTTCGTTATCTTCCTGAATGACTTCGTTGGTATTGAAATCTGGATCCTACAAAGAAATGTGTATCATAATTAAAATTTAATGCAACCACAAATAGGAAAACTGATAAAAATTGAGTATAGAAACATACTTTGAACGTCTCTTCTTGTGGAGAAGGAATATATTTCTTTATAATTTCCTCGTCGTCAGTAAGTGTAACAACTCTAAAGACTACATCTTTATTCTGATTGTTGGAACTGTTAACCTCAACTTTAAACATGACCCTTTTTTCAACAATATTTTTTATCTCCATTAGACATGAAGAGTCATCTGCAGCACCAGAAGTCTAACGAAAAGACATAATGATTGTGGTTAATAGAAGCTACAACAACAAAAGTAAAAAGTAAATGTAATACGGTGTACACATTTTATTTGTTCCTTATAAGAAGATTGTAAAAAAGACGATGCTTCAATTCTCATAGTAACTATATTTTTAAGCATAAGCTAAATGCGAGGAATAATACACTAAATAAAGCTATTAATATAAAAAGACTAAAGTAGAAGATGTGAAACTAAAATGAAAGCATAAGTTTTCTGATGCAAAATGCGTCTTTGTTCATTAACAATTCCTGAATTTTGTCGCCAAACTCCAACAATTTTAATAATATTTTGTAACCTCAAATTCAGCAACATCGTCAGCAGAGATGAAACCATTTTTTCTTGTTGTTTGTTAATCACTATCTTATAAAGATTAAATAGGTAGTGTTAATGTCAAAATTATTCTAGATTTCATACAATACTTGTAAACAAAAGTAGATTTGCTTGAGTCTATGTTGCTTTTTATGTGTTTAGCTGCAAAAGAACAAACCTAGATTTTAAAGAACTTCAAAACAAAATGAAACTTTAGCGATAAGCTAAAAATAGAATTTAACCTTAACTACAACTATTTTAACTTTAGCGAAACCCAAGGACACCAAAAAACAGAGAAATATTGTCATACTTTCAAAGTTCAAACTTATCAAACTTCTCAAGTAAATCTAATAAGAGCAAAGACATACAGGTTTAGCAATAAGCTCATTTAAAATTTAAAAATCATATCTTAATCACTTTGTAACTTAAACTTAAAAGAACTTTGACATTTGGTTAACTTAAAGTTCTTTCAAGTACATCAGTCCTCACATGCATATAGACACAAAGTGAACTACCCCATAAATAAAACGGGAAGGAGATGCAGGGGAATGGATCAGGTACCACTTCTTTCAATGTTGATGGTCTTATTTTTCTAAGCAATTGTATTATACCTCAAATACAGCATCCTTTAAATCATTTGCTGACTTTCCGATAATCTTAGTTGCATCCTTATCCCATAACAGCACAGAAATTGTACCGGTGCAATCCGTCACTTTAACTTGTAGCTTGTACATGGAAAGAGTTTGTATTTTTAAAATCATATAATAGTAAAGAAAATATAAATTACAGTCATACCTATGGGTGGCAGATTGAATCTGCTCGCATTTTTTACAATAGAATTTATTCCCCTCTTTTTCTAGTTTCTTTGAGAAATTTTGGCATGCTAAATAGCACCATCCGCGGTCTAATTCAACGTCTACAATAGTTGCTACAACCCAATAATTTTCTGGCTGCGCATAAAAATTGGATATACAATTGTTATGTAGAGAAGGATAAGATAAGTAATTAAAAAGTAAAAAAAAAATAATTAAAAAGTAGGTACTCACATGGTTACAGTCACCCAAATCCTCAATATTTTTAACTTCAATACTTCCAGATGCTAGCTCATTAGCAACAGAGTGAGTTTTGTGAGATGAAATTTGAGTAATTCTTTGTGAGCTTTCTCCACGCACAGAAACCATTCTGTTTCATTTTTTAACTTAAGATACGTTAATAAATTGTAAGACTAAAATTTAGGATGAAATAGGCTTAAATTTAGCCCAACTTATAGAGACCTGGAGCAAAAGTCAACAACCTGAGGAAGATTTGAATTGATCAAAAGCTTCAACGCATGCCAAGTGTTCCTCATCGAATATTGTTCTGCACGCTTAAAAGTAATTTTTAAGTTTAGTAATTGTATAGAGACATTGTATTTCAAAGTAAGTAGAGAATTTAATAACCTCGATATCGATGTGCTCTAATCAATTGCATGATGACGACAACAGGCTTATCATTGGATCCATTCAAATATGGCCTAATCTGTTCCACAAAGTCTCCCCAAAGAGTTGCAGAAATGTTGTTACTCCTACAATTATTATAAAGTTAAGCATAGGAATCAAAATAAAGAATTGTTGAAATATTTACTTAGTTGAATAAATTGTGACGAGCTTACTCATAATCTTGTATCTGAATGTTCATGTACATACGGATGTTATCATCTTGCTTGATAGACTGTACGTCCTCATAACTCACAACTTCGCCAATGACATCTAAAAAGCAAGGAAATATATGCAAAATTAGTAATCATTATAAACAATATAAATGAAGATTGTAAAGGAATTAAACACTTAGATGTATATTCCAGAGGCAACAAATATCAATTTTTCTGAGTTTTGTGAAAAAGGGAAGGTTTTAGAGAATGCAAAGTAAACTGTGGGCATGAACTCCATCAGCTACCTATGGAATAAGAGATCAAAAGCTAACCTTAGGCCTTCATAAAACCACTGAAATACTATCAGTAAATACTATATAAAGTAGTACCAAGACTATACACCTGTAATGGAGATGTTCAAAGAAATAATACAATATTGACCTTTATTTAGTTCCATACGCCTACAAAGGCCTTCTAGAAATCAGATTATGATTTTCGACTGAGGATTTAACAATGTCAAGAAATTCAGCTTTAATCTAAAACTTAATCTTTAATGTTATATACTGTGATTAGTATTGATGTAATTCACACTTAGAATTCATAAGATAGAAAACAAATAAGGCAAAGTAAAATGAAAGTGGAAAAAATGAGAGAAATTTAATTACCAAATAACTCAGTATTGTCAAATTCTTGAGGATTTGACAACTGCTCATACTTTCTAAATTTGAAAATACACATGTTGAATTGTGGATCATGCATTTCGTCAACAGTGGTCTTATGCGTGAACATCAACTTCAACTTGTGGTCTTTGGTCTTAAGCTTCATATTATTTGGACAAACCACAAAATTGTTCATGATGTACAAACCCATTTCCTTAATTTCTTGTTTGAACCTTTGAATAAAAGACCTGCCAATACTTGCGTGAATGCGGTCGCCCTACAAAAAAAGCTCAATTAGTTAAAATGACTAAGTTATTCCGTATACGACTGTAATATACTTACGCATATGTAAACAATGATAAATGGAAAGTAATTATAATGTTTTAAACAATACCTTTTCATCCATCAGAACAATCTCAATGGAAAAGGGGCTGTCAGGCCTGTCGCGGTCCGGATTTTTCCAAAGCCTCACAATACGAACCTTTAACTTCCAATTCATTGATTTGCTGTTAATTTCACTAATGAAATTGATTTCAGACGCCATTATATCCTGAAAATAGACAGAGGTATGTGTAAATATAAGTAGAACTAAAACTTCACGGAAATTATGTGTTAAAGGAATACAATCTCAACTGGAATAAAGATCGTTTATGAAATACAAATCATACCAATCATCTCTTGTAGTGTAAAATTATTGTTTGATATGCACACGATGGAGAAAGAAAAGAACTATATACTATAAAAGTAGAACTGATTTGATAAAATCGTGAAATCATGTTACTGGAATCGTGGGCAGAAGAGTTCGTGGATAAGGAGTTGATATCGTGGTAAGACATCGTGTGATTGAGGTGCCGAATTTGGAGAATGAAATTTTTAGGGCAAAGAGATGAAAATGGCATTCCCAATTGCCAGCGGCTAAGGTTTCAAAATTTATCTGGTTTCAAAATGTATCTATATACCTATTTAATAGGAATGGGTTTTTCTTTTAAAAGAAACGTAGAAACTACATCTTCTTCTTTTAAATATAGAATAACGTGCTTTTAAAAAAAAATATATAGAATACCTAATTACTAACTGTTTTCAAATTCAAAATTTAAAAAGAGAAACTAATTTTACCTAAAATAACTAATTTGTTCTAAAGTTGTCACATGGCATTTTATGGACACAACACTTGTCAAAATATTAGGGATGACTTATTTCCTTTTAAATAGATATAGATACTGCGCCGATGATCGATAGATACAATTGAAGGTTTTTAGATGCACATCGATTTCGGTCCTTGCTGACTCTTCGACCACATACTTCATTATTTTTTAGATCACTTCAACAAGCGACGGCCTGGGAACGTTCCACCAATACTATTTTGGCTTAATTATCCTAAAAATAGATTTTGACCCATACAGTTTAGCACCATAGCAATTTTTCATGGATTGACCAGCGTCTAAGTTAATTCAATCTCACACAAGTTTCTCCGGAAACAACTATAGAAACTTACTACGTTTTATTCATAGAAATTCTAATTCGGTACTTAAATTCAAAATGACCTCTCATTAATCAAAAAGACTAAAGCGTACCCTTTCCTGTTGGCTTGTAATTTTTAATCAAACTACAAATTTAGATCTTGGTTCAACTAATTAAATTTATACAACTGAAGGTTAATCTTAGTTAACAATAATATTCCAAAGATGAAATTCTCGGAGGTGCAATATATAATATGCAGATATAAATAGCAACGACGACACACAAACAATATTAAGAAGTCAAAGGAAGTAATGTAACATTAAATAGTGATGAACAATAATAAATAGCATTTATGTAAATAGAGCGAATGAGTTATCCAAGAAAGGATGAAATTAGTGAATGTTTTTCCTGACAATGATTAGTGATGGATAAGCCTTTGAATATCTGAGTTATTCTCGGATCCAGAGGAAAAATACGGACAAGATTCTTAGTGAAAAAGGTTACTTTTGTATGCTTGCAATAAGATCCGGTTCTCTATTTTAAAGTCAAAGTGTATTTTACAAATGAATATCCCAGATCTCCTATCATTGCGCTTTTTTCTATTTATAGGGAACATATTCCTAGAAATCCTAATAGTACAAGTGTAGAGAATATCCACTAGAATATCCACTAGAATATTCTCTTTTATGTCCTACCTTCGGCCCTTGCTGAATCTTCGACCACATACTTCACCTTCGGCCCTTGCTGAATCTTCGACACATACTTCACCATTTTTAGATCACTTCGACAAGCGACGGCCTGGGAACGTTCCACCAGTACTATTTTTGTTTAAGTATCCTAAAGATAGATTTTGACCCATATAGTTAGTCCCTTCTCTTATTTAGGTCGGCTTCACGAACGGGTTCGATGAGCGGACCATGTTGTTGGTGGTCGAGCTGATCAAGCGGACTACGCATGTTGTGGTTGTCGCAACAAGCAGGCAACATGGCCCTCTGTGGGCCATACATTTCAAATGCTTCAAATTTCTTGGGTGATTTGCTGGAGTTATGCTGTCCACGAGTTAGGATGACGTCATGATGTCATGCGTCATCATGCTACATATTCCCGATGCGTCGCTTTGTTTCGCGTGTGACCTTTGATTAGACCTTCCGCTTCTGTTCCGGTGCCAATCATGATAGGTCATTTTCAGTTTCGGTGTTATGACCTTTATAAATAGGGGTCCTTGAACACGATTTTGGAGTTTAAATCTTCTAACGCTTTGAAATCCCATGCCTTTCTCTTGCTCTCTTTTACTCCAAATTTCTCTTCTCTGTTTTAGTGACTTACATTGTTCTTCATTCCTTCTCGTTCGTCACTCTCTTTCCTTATGTTGAAATATGTCTAATGTAACTTCTGAGGCTAGTGAGGGGAGTTGCATTGCTCCTTTGGCAGTGGTATTTCCCTCCTATGGGGTGAGCGTTCCTACCACTGTTGAGGATGAAGCCTTCTCGTCGGTGGAGGAGATAATCCCACGCAATCCTGATTTCAGATCCGATTTTACCAAATCATTAGAGGCCGCACTTGGAGTTTTTCGATCAGTGATGATGGTGAAGGAATTAGCGGAGCTTAAGCCCAAATTCAGCCTTCCCAATCATATCGAGTTGATCGTGGTCGAGGGGGATACGGTACAGGTCCACCGTCCTGAGTAGTGCGCCCTTTACGCCTACCCTTTCCAAGTCGACTATTCTTTTCCCCTCCTTCTGCTGGTGGAGGAGTTCTGTCATCACTATGACATTTGTCCTGCTCAGCTTGCGTTGTATATCTATAAAATTATAAAGATGCTCACTAAGTTTGCTGAGCTAACCATGGTCGAACTAACATTGCGACACTTAATTCATCTATTCGCTCTTAGCTTTTATAGGGGAACGATGGTGAACCTTCGCCACCGAAGGGGAAAATACTTGGCATTGAAGATGGACGATAATGCCAATCGTCAATTTTGGTTTAACTTCTTTTTTGTCAAACCGAGGACGTTGTGACCAGTGTCGATGACTTTCCTGAGGCTTGGAACTATACTCGTAAGTACTTTGGTTTCTCCCCCTTGTTCGGTCCTGGATTTTCACTTCTCATCTTTTTTTTTGTAGCCAAGACCTCGCCTCCTCCTTTGGACGCTCATATTTCTAATTGGGCCGAGCGGCTCCTCCCTCATATCGTAGGAATTTGTGAATGGCCATGATTTTTCAAGAAATTCAGTCCTGCTTCTTTCGATTGGTAATTTCCTTTTTACCACCAGCGCCTTGATTTCTTTGCTCATTTTCCTTGACTTTCCCTTTTCCTATTTTTCCTTAACTTCGGCCAGGGGGTCGACAAGGAGGTCGAGAGCTCACACGCCCTTGTTTCGGAAGAGGAAGGCCACTACGCCCTCAGTTTTTGCCACTGTTTCGACCACAGCCGATCCTACCCTTGATCCAATTCCCCCTGTCGCCATGTTCGACTTTGTTCCCATTTTGGCCGTGGAGACTTAGGCTTCTCCTCTATATTCTCTTATCGACGAGGAAAATGAACCTTTACCTAGTGATGGAGATCTCTTGCCTCAAATGAGGAGGTTCGTGGATGTCGATGACAGAGTCATCGGGTCATTTATACGATAGGAGGGGATTTTTTGCTACATGAGATAGCGACCATTCTTGTCAGAGATGATGTCGAGCCGAGTCCCGAGGATCCGAGGTCGGTGGGAGCTGATGTGGATGTGTTCTTCCTTTCGGGGTGATGGAGACTGAAGGGAAGGCTGCTGACGTTCTTGACACTTCTTGGCGAGAGGAGGCATCGACTTGTCGAACAACCACAGATACCTCCTTGCCTGCCTATGAGAGGGGAAAAACATTGATGAGGAGGGCGATAAATTAGGTTCCGACGTCAATGCAGACTACTTGAGGATGATGGGAGAAGGGCTTACCCATATTGAGGTAAGGTTGGAGGGGTCTATGAGGACTATCGCGATCCCCATGGATCATGACTTGTTGGTGAACACCAAGGAGGTAATCCCTGCCCTCAACGCTCTCTATTCTAAAATAGAGGGCAAGACCCTTAAAGAAATAGATGATGGTGCTTTGTCGAGGAGCATTGCTATCCTTACTCTTAGGGTAAGTGTTTGTGTCTCAACCTCTCTTTTTTGTTTTTCAGGGTGTCCTTGGTTATGATTTCTCTTTTCTCTTTCCTTTTTATGATCATAGATGGTGACTTTGGAGATCGAGAGTGCCCATAGGGAGAAGAGGTGTAAAGACATCTTTGAAAAATTGAAAAATAAGTACTTTGAGTATCGTGGCAAGTATCAAGATCTCCGTAGGCGATTTTGCAAAGGTGGAGACATGCAAGCCCTACGGGGCGAGTTGAAAGAGGAGGATGATTAGCCGATGCATGCCATCAAGAAGTGTAGCCTCCTCGAGGGGATGTTGAGAAGTAGGGAAGAGGAGCTTGAGGTCAGTAGGGGCATGGAACCTTCAAGCTCAAGTTATCGCATTATAAGGGTAGTTAGAAGAGTGACGACTTTAGTTGTAGGCCCTCAATAGTGAGATTGCCGAGAAGCAAAAGGAGCTCGAGAAGGAGGAGTCCTCTCGTTAGGATGCTTGGAGGAAGATGGAGATGCTTGAGTTGGCGAGTAGGACTCTTCTAGCCGCGCGGGAGAATGATCAATCGACAGGGAGAGCTAAGGAAGATCGGCTCGAGGAAAGGATTAGGGAGCTAGAGAAAAATAACTCTGACCTCCATGAT